TTGTTTTTAGGTGGCTTACAATCTGGCTATAGCCGAAGAGCAGCTGCAGTTCGAACATCGCGATCTGCACTGGGGCAACGTTTTACTGAAAGAAGTGCCCAAAACCAAGACACTGAATTATAAACTGCAAGGTAACAACAGGCTAATTGATTCTGTAGTTTTAGTGGCAGAAGTTTCGTTTTTTAGGAAAAACCCACAGTTGCCCTTCCCATGGAGTTGAAGTTACACTAATCGATTTTACTCTATCTCGAATGACTCACAATGGTGTGACGACTTTTACTGATCTCGGAAAGGACCCCGATCTGTTTTTATCTGAAGGTGACTATCAATTTGACATTTATAGACTGATGAAGGAGAGAAACAAGTAAGTTTGTTCCTTTTGCATGCACTCCCAGCTACTTTTAATGTTGTGATTGCAGAAATGACTGGACAGCATTTACGCCTTATTCGAACATACTGTGGCTTCATTGTATTCTACGAAAAGCCATCAAGGGAGTCAGATATAAAAATCCCAAAAGCAAAGTACACCAGCGACCCATCAAACAGTTGCAGCTGTATGAATCTACAGTATCGTCCTTTAGTTCGGCACGTGAATTTGTATGTAAAATTTTTAAATTTTATGTTAATTTGTACTGAACATTTACCGTTTGATCAATCGCGTGTTTCATAACTTTTTTTATTGTTTTACAAAATAGGCGCTATACAGAACTTGATAAAGTGTGTCCGCTGTGCGAAGCAACATGTCCCTGTTTGTAGTTTATTTTAGAAGTAAAAAAGCAGTGACAAAACCTAAAATCAATGGAGAACTGAAATTGTTTTATACGAGTGAATAAATACATATTATGATATCCCCATTTTTTCAACAGCTGCTAAAAACTAAGACAGACGGGCGAATTGTTGTGTCAGTGCAATTAAAGCTAAAGGACTTTTTGCGATAAACAACGAATTGGCTTGGTGGCTTTGAGCCTGAATATCATCACTTTACTATGAACACTATACAACATATATCGGTCTGAGTGGCGTATTATTTACTCTACTTAGTGCAGGTTTGAAGCTTAACACCGTAGTAGGTGTAAGCGTTTTGGTGATCGCCCCATGAATCGGAAAAGAGCCACAAAAGGTCTTTTTATCCCCTTAATAAAGGCTATGGTAAATAGTGAGTGGGACGAAGAACATTTTTTTAAATACACAAAAATGACGAAGTCAGTTTTTTGGTTCACATGGATTAAGAATAAAATTACGACGTTGGGTAATCCAGCACTAACTCACACAAACTAAATAAAAATTTACGTTGTAAGCGCGTTTTTAGCAATTGAAACTCACTCACGGTACCGTGTTTCTTCTGCTAATAGAAATAGTTTTTGTAGCATTTTTTTTTAGTTTACTTTGTATGTTCCGAATTTTTATCGTAACTCTTGAACATCGGAATATCTTGTTTCGTTGATAGTTCAACTGGAACGAGGCTAATTAATTTGGTGACGTAGATTAATTATGTAGGCTGAAGTGTTTTCGAATTTTTTGAGCACTTAGTATTGAGATAACACTTATCAACTGTGTTATTGACAATGGGGATAACTGTTTATTGAACAACAAATTAATAAGCGGGTTTTACGTAGTCACTATACTCAACCGACGATATCTTCTTTATTATACTACACAAGCACTTTTTATTTGCATATTATGAAGCTCCTTACGCTTTAATGTTAATTGAACTTAAAAAAGATGCATGATAAATTTTTAATTTTCGGGGGTAATTGCACAAGTGCTTCAAAATTACCGATAATTTTGCATGAAAGCTTGTTGTCTAAAAACTGCATGAGTTTATTTTCATATTGTGGCAAAAAAGCCCGACTCCGAAGGAGGAGGGCTTTTTCGTTGAGTGATAATTGCACACTGTGCAATTACCGCTGTAATTTTTCGATAATTGCACACTTCAAACGGACAGATTATCATACGAGGGAAATATTCACCGAAATTTGTCTACGGCTGGAGGTCGATTTCTCCAAAAAAATTAAAATCCTCCAAAACGCCTCGTTTTACCTTAAATAGAGATAAGTATAAAGAATCCATAAAACTTCAGTTGCTTGTCGGAAAATTAAACTAAGTTCAAGCTAAAACCGGTATAGATTAGGGAGCTTTCTGCAAGCTGGGGCCCCATCCTCCATTTTCTACCCATTAATCCTCAACAAGTAAGGGCCACAATGACTCTATATTTCCTATCTAAGAACGCGATTCACACGACACTGTCGGCAGCAAACTGCGTATTCATATGCATTTTCGACAAAAAAGGTAAGGCTTGTGTAAGTAGTGAAGTAAGTAAAGTAAAGCAGATTCGAAATAATCCGACATTTTCAGCTCATTTTAAGCGGTTTTTGAACGATCACAATCCTTAACCGGCCATTCTTCGCCCAAAAACCGACGTCACCGGAAACGTTCTGATTCTTCCATTTCGAATAACCGCGAAATGGAACTACCTTATTGAAAACGACGCTAAACCCTTCCAAACCCGAAATAATCGACAATTCTGCACTCATCTTGAACATAAGTGTTTTGTCTTTTCTAAATCATGTGTGTTCTAATCTTGAAAGGAAGTAGATAACATTTCTCCTGCATAAACAACCGAAAGTCAGTCAGTATTAGCACTAGTTCAGCAGCAACCAGCGATCTTCAAAATGAGCATCTGGATAATCGCACTTTTCCTATCAGTGCTTCAACTGGCTGTAAGCAATTTCCGAAAATATCCTTCCTCTTGTAAATGATTTCCTTTAAAGGTGAGTGAAGATCTGCTGGTTCCGACTAGCAATGGCCTGATCAAGGGCCGAGTTGAACTCACCGAATTCACCAACCGAACCTATTTTGCTTTTTACGGGGTGCGATACGCACAACCGCCGGTTGGAAGTCTTCGCTTTCAGGTACTAGATTTCCATTTTTCCCCACTTTTCTGAGTCTAAGGGGACACATTCCAGGCCCCCGTCCCAGCGGAGCCTTGGAGCGACACATACGATGCAACGTACGAAAAAAACTACTGCTTCCAAGTGACGACTGATTCAGAAGGCGAAAATGAGGATTGCTTGTTCTTGAATGTCTTCTCATCCAAAGTGAGTGTGGAAGCGCGATTTTGAAGCTCAAAAAACCCCAAAAATTGCAATTTTAGAAGCCTGAACAAGGCTCCTTGGTGCCAGTGATGTTCTTCGTGCATGGAGGAGGGTTCAAGGAAGGCTCCGGCCTGGTAAATGCGGGATATGGCCCGGAATTTTTCATGGATTACAACGTGGTGCTGGTGTCCATCAACTACCGCCTAGGGCCTTTTGGTGGGTGAACCTCACCCCAAATTTCATTGATCTTCACCACTCAATATGCAGGTTTTCTTGCAACCAGCGACGGAATAATCCCGGGCAATGCTGGCCTGAAGGACGTCCATCAAGCTCTGCAGTGGGTCCATGAAAACATCGAATTCTTCGGCGGCGATCCGGAAAAAGTGACCATTTTCGGAAACAGCGCTGGATCGGCGTGCGTCTCCTACCAGCTCCTGCATCCTCAATCTCAAGGCCTATTTAGGGCGGCCATTCTACAGAGTGGCACCGCCCTCAATCCCTGGGCCTACCAGCGGGACCAGGAGTGGATTAGCTTCAGAACCGCTGCTTATATGAACGAAAAGTTCAATTCCTCTGAGCAGCTAAACTCCTCAGAGCTGCTGGAGTTTCTACTCGGAGCTGACGCCAGGGACATTGACGCTGCCTCCAAGTCGCTCTCCAATACTGTAAGTTTTGCAGCAGTTGTATAGACGGGAGTTCAGTGGGGAAACTTGCAGGAAAGTACTGCAAACCTGCAAATTCAGCAAGGATTCTACTATGGGCCCGTGATAGAAAGGCACGAGAACAGCCCGTTTTTAACCACCTTGCCCTATGAGGGTTTGAAGAATGGCGATTACCTTCAAGTGCCCATCATGATCGGCACTACTGCTGAAGAAGGCCTCTCTATGTTAACAGGTACTGTTCAAAGTACCTATGGACTTTTTACTTAAAAATGATGCAAATTGCAGACTATTTCCACTGGACACTAGCTGATTACGACAGCAACTTAAAGCTCCTGGTGCCCGCCGGTTTGCACATTTCAGACGAAAACCTGCAGGCTGAAGTGGGCGCGTTGATTAAACAGGAATACACACCAGACGCGCAGTTTCAGGACAACATTTTAGCAGGAATTCAGGTGCGTGATCTTTACACCCCCTCACCGACAACCAGTAAGACTTACAAACTTATTACAACTAATGGGTTTTTCGGGTTTTTAGGCCGTCGTTCGGTAGAATTTCTTCCTGACGTTTCGCAAGCACGAGTGGCTTGCATCTTCAGAAGTGGTT